CCTCCTATAAATACTGTGTGATGCCGTACGATACTCACCTCCGACGATGAAAGCTTGTCTGCTTTTGAAACGTCAGGACAATACAATCATGGTTCCCGAGATCGCCTCTTCTTCTCATATATATATATATATATATATATATTATGATGATTGTCTGAACGAAGGCAGAATAAGCCCGAAACAGTGCTGTACCAATCTACCCGCGTTCTCTGACGTCGCTCCTCGCTGCTATTATGACTTGGCCGACTTCAACCTGGTAATTGGTTGCCTGTTCTAGACCTTTGCCACCCATACGGAACTTGTTTGCTTCGTAAAGCCAATAGATCGGTGTGCGCCCAATCCTGATTGAATAAATACCCGATCTGCAGCGACACAGAATGACAGGTGGCCAGGCACTGATGAACTTCGGTTCGATGGAGTGCTTATGGCCCATCTGGTGGACCCCAGTGGTGGACAAACTGCGCCAGGTGCGTCTGTGCGCATGTTTGTGTTTCTGGTCCCAGCTGCTGATGATGAGGGTTATTATTGGCTGAATGAAGGCAGAATAAGCCCGAAACAGTACTGTATCCATCCATCCGCGTTTTCTGTCGGCCGACCTCGCTGCTATAATTGACAGTATCACAACGGAGAGGCCATCCATAATTGTAAAAGTGTGTCTGTATCTACCGATAGAGGTAACAACCCAACCTCTTTGAGGTTAAATTATAGTATAAAGGGGTTCCGTAACTTTTGCTTTATTCTTGAAAAAGCGCAAAAAGAAAAAGGCCCAAAATAACAAGGAAAATAAGCAAAATCTGACAGTTTACGTTTCTAGTCAAACTGACTCAGTAGAGGGTTGGCACGTTTTTTCCTTGCCTACAAAGGTAAGGGAAATGTTTTGAAGATTAAGTAATATGTGGTCTTATAAGTAAAAATGTCAATATGCAACTAGAATCTAGGTACCAGTAACAAATATGAGAAAATCAGGTAATCCCGCTCTCTGTGACTGCAAGCAACTAGGAGCGAACTAATATTAGTGACCTAGCAGACAAAAATTTAATAGTCTTCTGTTCAAAACTGTCGTGAGCATGTCATGAAATAATATAGGACTGAGAGGTGTCGGCCAGTAATGCAACTGGTTGAGAAAAAACCAAAACTTGCAAAGATTCGCCTGCTCTGTATTCACAGTATTGGCTTGCTCAAGATCTTTAATATCCGCTTTCGTGGTTGCCATCAGTCATTACCTTCGTTTACTAAATATAGTTCTTATGACGCTTCCGATCTTAGGGTTAGCCATCTTATGGATCTGTGAAAATCTAACACCTAAGCATGTAACAATTACTCCGCATCTCCTTGAGTCATGTTGGTTATGAAATAGAGCTATAACGTCGAAAGCATTGAAATATTAGGGAATACACAGTCAGCTTTGCGCATGGAGCACACATTGTTGTCGGCTACTGCCTACTTTGAACTTACCTTATTTTTGGACGCCTTAGTGACTCCTATAATGAAATAGGCAACATTCACAACATTAAATTTAGAACCTCTTAACAGTGTATGTCACTATTATAAGGGATGATGGCAAATAGTCATGAACGTTAAAATAATAAATGTATATAGTCAAGGTAGGTCCAGTAATATTGTTTAAAATCATTTGATTCTAGCTTGAAATAGGACTTGCATCTAACGACCGTTCGGTAGGTATAAACTGTCTCTGACAAATCAAACGTTTACGGACATTTAAACTTATATCAAAAGTCCAAAATGCTTCTGTTTGCCTAGGAATTTAGTTATAAACGAAGAGCTTTTGCATTAGCATAATCTTCGTCTCTGTTTTACCAGAACGCAGGGGAATCGTCAAGTACCGGACTCTACACAGCTTAAAATCATCTGAGAGCATGTTAGAGTGAGATTTAACAGAGAATAGCCTGTTACTCATAACACCTACGGGTTGTTTAAGGAGGACACGGCTGTTTCGTAGTATGGCAAGGACATGGCGTGGTCTTAGCATGACATGGGCATGGACATTTCTGTCATTTATAGAATGCAAAGTGAAAATACGGGCTGAATTTTTAAATGAGTACACTAAATTTTACTTGGCATGTTACTTACATTTTGCAGCAAGTGGACAGGGATTGGCTGAAACGGAAATACCAAATGGCCGTTTGTTATCTTATAAACTAATAACGGTATGGGTGTTACTGAAGATCCGCAATCTGTCTAGTTCCCCAGAAAACAAACTGAAAATGACGGATGTTTACTTTAGAGTATTCTATGTTTGTTAATCACCGGCCCCCAGACAGCGCACTTTTAACCAAGTACATGGTGGCATGAAGCCGGGCAAATAATGGTCTGTTACTAATTAGCATTTACCCGTTGTTTGGGAAGGACACGGTGGTTTCGTAGTATGACATGGACACGGTGGTTTCGTAGTCTGGCAAGGACACGGCGTGGTCGTGGTCTGGCAAGGACACGGCGTTGTCGTGGTTTGGCAAGGACACGGCGTGGTCGTAGTCTGGCAAGGACACGGCGTTGTCGTGGTTTGGCAAGGACACGGCGTGGTCGTAGTCTGGCAAGGACACGGCGTGGTCGTGGTGTGGCAAGGACACGGCGTGGTCGTAGTCTGACAGGGGGGCGCTGTGGTAGCATTCGTAGTGTTGGTCGGCGGCATAGGAGTTTCTAGAAGAGAGTGGTTAACTTAGGTCAGTATTGTGAATGATGAAGTGACGAGATGGATCCGATGTAACAATTAGCCTAAGAATGCGCTCTGAAGATCGAACTATCCGTTTTGAAAGAAGATGTGTACACAGGCAGTCATGAACAAATGTTTAATATTAAAACGTCTTTTGAAGCCATTTAAATGCAAATTTAGGCTAACGATGACACAATCTCTAAAAAACATCTAAGTACGCAATGTTACAAACCCGCTAAAAGAAAATTGTTTACGTGTGACGATAGAGATCTGTAAAAATATTAGCCATAAAGGATAAAAGACTACACAAAAGGCACCAAACAAAAGATGAAAAAGTCACGTGAAATGTAGTAATCCAACATTGAAGGTGGAGTTAAACTGGCCGGAGCAAATATTTGACAAAGAATAACAATCAGGGTATTAAAAATGAGAAAAAATGCGAAAAAAAGAAACAGATTAAAAAGATTTCATTTAAAAATACAAAAACTTAATAAAAAACGCTCCAAAAAAGAAGACGAGGAAACGTAAAGGTAAGAAAAATTTCAATGAAAAATCAGACTAAAAGTAAAAGAAAGAAAAAAGAGTGGAGGGAGAAAAAAGGAAAGCAGAAGAAAAATAAAAAACAAGGCACACCATAACAAAAAAGGAAAAAAAACAAAAAACAAGAAAAACTAAGAGAAAACGTAGAAAAAAATAAAGCCAAGAGAAGAAAAAGAGAAAGAAAAAAACGAAAAGGAAAAAGGAAAAAAAGCGAAAAAAGTCCCAAAAACGAAAAGAAAAGAAGTAAAAAAGAATGCGCAGAGAAAAAAACGAAGAAAGAAACAAGGCTGATAAACGTAAGCAAAAGGAAAAAACACCAAAGAAATAAGCCAGAATTAATGCCTACGCATTAAGAAGAAGAAGACAAAAATAAAGAAGAAGAACAAGAAGAAGAAGAAGAAGCCGAATAAGAAGAAGAAGACGCAGAAGAAGAAGAAGAAGAAGAAGAAGAAGAAGAAGAAGAAGAAGAAGAAGAAGAAGAAGCTGGGCGCACAAGGCTGCAGACATCGGTATTCTGCAGCCAGCCTGACCGAAGCAGAGCT